GGCCACGACAGTGGGAGGCCCGCGTACCGCAAAAAACAACAACAACAACAACAAAAAATGGTTCTAATTGTCCCATTAAAGGATCGCCCCATTTGGTCAAAGGAAGAAACATCTTCCTGTCATTCATTCTATTGGGGATGCGTTGTTAAGACTCCTTTTAAGTGACCGAATAACATAATGGACAAAGTGGTGTCACAAAGGATCCAGACACTGTCATACGGCCACTTAGAGCAAACCTTGATAAAAGGTTAAGCTTCTTTTCTTAGAAGGTCATGCGCACAAATTAAAAGATACGCCTGTGCTCTGTGCCCCCTCCAACCCTGAGGGCCTCTGCTGGGCTCCAGCTGGAGTTTTCTCCTAGAGTCGGATTTTTCTTCGGAGGCCATGCAGCTCCTGTCTCCCGGGAGGCTGACTCCGGTGAAAGCAATCGCATGGGCTGCCCCTCATCCTTCCCTGGAGAGGGGGTCTCCTCGCTCAGCTGAACCAAGGTCTGGCTGCCCCGGCTCATCTGTGGTGGCTGGGCAAGCGGCGCTTTTATTGGACCTATTAGTTCTGAGCCCAGGGAGCAGAACACAGCTGTCACATCATGGGGACCCCCTGGCACAGAGGCTCCTCCCACTCAGAGGCCAGCCCAGTGGGCCCTTGGTCCCCAGACTTACTTGTCATCCTCTCACTGCAATTGTCAGTGATTATTACCTGGAGGAGCTGTAATGCAAAGGTAGCGCTGGGGCCCCATTCCTAGGGATTCCGAATTAATTGGCCCGAGGAGGAGAACCAGTACCAGGAAATTTCAGTGCGCAGCCGGGGCTGAGAGCCACGCCAAAGGTGAAGGCCTAACCGCCTCCTCCACCCACTACGAGGCTGACGGTCCTTGATACAAGTAAGAGTAGGACACTGGGGAAGAAATGCTGTAAAGTCACAACCAATTTCTTCTTCTCCTCCCAGAAAAGGGAATAAACTCTGTTGGTGTTCACAAGTCACTTTCTTCTCTAAAAGGAAAAAGCACAATATTATATTTACAACCTCAATCTATCCATCCATTCATTCACCCACCACCCATCCATCTTCCACCCATCCACCCATCTGTCCATCTATTCATCTGTCCACCCACCCATCCACCTACCTACCCACCCATGCATTCATCCATCCATCCACCCATCCCTTCATCCATCCACCCATTTATCTATCCTTCCGTCTCACCCATATACACTGTGTATCCAAAGCTGAGCTGAGGGTGAAGGAAGAAGACTGGGCAAAACATGGGGTTGGGGCCTAGAGGGCTTGTGTTTCTCCTGATTCTGCACCCCCTAGACAGTTGGCTTTAGGTAAGTCCCTTAATGAAGCTGGGGCACAGGCCATCTGATCAGTAAGAACACTGGACAAAAACAGCTTAAAGTAGCTCTATTTCTAGAGGTCTGTGGATTTATAAGTCATGGGCTCTGCCATAAAAACGTTTACCACATGGTTGGAGATACAAGAAACATAAATACAACAAAAAAATAGGATGTCAAGGACCACATGCATGTCACTTAAGACAGAGATTCAGGGCAGAGTCCCTGCTGGCACGGCTGCTAACTGCTTTCCTCCAAGTTCTAGGGGTATTTTCACGCACGAAGGTGAAAAAAGAGCTGAAGAGCTCTTCTGAAGAGCTGGCACAGCGGAGTGCATGATCTGAGCTGCTTTTGCAAGGGTGGTCATAAGCTTGTGCCGTTAACAGAAAGTATCTAACCTCTGGAAACAAGGCCAAGAGGCCTGCGTGTTTCCAGTGTCGCCTGGAGGCTTTGTTTTATAGGCCTACCCAAGGCTTAGCCGCATTTTTAGGAGGATGGACCATTGTTTGACTCTGTTATTTACTATTAGTTAAGGGTTCAAACTCTGTGAAGTTCCATGTTACATTCTAGATATTTGTCCAGTAGAGTCGAAATGATTCCCTGTTCAGTGAAGAGAGAACCACCAATTTATTGCCCCACAGAACATTAAGCAGATTTGTCTGAAACATTAACAATCTATTTTAGTGAGTCTTCCTCCAGGCACTGTATAAATTCTCGTACTTCAAATGCATTTGAATCAGCGTTACCGACTTCCTGGCTCCCTCCCTAATTGATGGGCTTAATACAATCTTGGGCGTGTGTTCATTCTGTTGAGAGCCACGTTTTCAATTCTCTTCAAAATTTCCCTGGGATAGCACTGACCCAGCCCTTCTCCCCCCAACCCAGTGCCCTCCTGAGGGGACAGGACAGGGTCTCAGCTGACAGGAGAGGAGGCGCCCTGCAAGGGGTCCTGGCCCACCTGGACTGAGCCCCCAGCACCCGCCTGTGACCCTAGCTCCGGCCTCTCTCAGAAGTGTGGCTTTGCACTGGTCATCAAGCAGGGACAGGGACTGGGGGACCAGGCTGCCTGGGACAAGCTGGGCCGCTCCTCTGTTCCCTAACCTCAGCAGCCCCACCCTGGAGACTCTGGGGGCTGGTCACCAGGAGGCAGGGGAAGCGCTTGGCACTCACATTGCCATCATCCTGGCTCCCGGGTGGTTGGAAGGTGCGTCCGTAAAGAGGCCGGGGTGGGCATTTCAAGTTCATTGAGCTTATTGACTAGGGGAGTCTCACCCAGGAAGTTCAAAGCCCAGGGCAATGCACTGAGTGCACCCCACCCCCATCAGCTGACTTATACATTGATTTGGCCACAAGGTTACACAAGCAATAGCGGAGACGGTGGGAGCAAAACTTACTGAAGGCGGTTTGGTAGCTCGGGGTGAGGGGCGCGACCGCGTTCTGGGGACTTGTGCCAGTAACTCTACTCCTAAGAAGCTACGTGAAGACAAAGAATGCTGTGGAAAGATAGACATTGGAGTTACAAAATTGGGTCAGGCCTAAATGGTCAACAATAGGGAGCTAGTTAAATAAAGAATACAGCGCCATAAAGTGGAGTGACACGTAGCCACTAAAAAATAATCATTTCAGTAGAAAGATAAATACTGCCGTTAACAAAAGCCCATCAGAAAAATTCTCTCTGTCTCTCCCTCTCCCTCTCGCTCTCTCATGATCCCAATCTCCTAAAGAGAGTTTAAATGTGCATGAAAAGATGAATGGAAAAGAGAAGCCAAGCAGCTGTCTCTAGCTGGTAAGAACACAGATGATCTCTGCTTTCTCACCTGCATTTTTACATCTCTAACATGAGCACATCTTCAATTTGTAACAGCAACGAACGGGGGAGGGTCTTTGTTCCACCTGCAGCAGGCCCTCCCTCTGTATCTGGCGGCTGTTTCGTCTGTGTGCAGCGGGCAGAGGCAACGCTAGTTTGCAGAACTCTTACGACACCAGCCTGGCTGTGTCCAGCGACCCCGCCCTTTGCCGGCCTCTGGCTGCATTGACCCCTGATCACGAACTAGATCCTCAGATTCTGTAACCGCTGCCACGCAAACAGTGATGCCACACGTACATTTCAGACGGAGAACAAGGCCCAGTGTCTTCCTTCGAGCTTCCTCCATCCAGTGTCCCCAGGTAGCGGTCCTTTCCCAGCTCCTTGTCAGTTCCTGCCGCAGGGGTACGCTTGTGCTTCCAGATCTTTCCTCTCGCTCATCTGGTCCTCTGATCTCCCCTGGGCTGTCGCCCTCACCACTCAGGCCCAAGGCCGGAATCTGCGGAGAAAACGCTTTGACCTCCCCGCGCCCGACAATTCGTGTCACACAAACAAACAGAACAGCTCTCTTGGTTGCAGAGTCTGCAGTGTCTGTGTTTAGGTCAATGGTCCCTTTACAGTTTTCTCCAGGAACAGTGATTGGAACCTTCTTCAGTCAGGTTGTTTTCTAGAACAAAGGAACAGTCTAAAACCCATTCAAGCCTCCATAACAGATGAACCAAAGTCAGAGAGAGATCATAGTGACAGGAACAATTTAAGCGGTTCCTGGGTATCAGGCTAAATGCTTCACACAACTACTTCAATGTACCAGGTAATAAAGGAGCATCACCTCCATTTTCCAGATGAGCTGAGGTTTAGTCATTTGCCCAACGTTGTAAGTTATCTGGTGGCAGGGCAGGACTTTGCCCCTGGCTGTATACTCTCAACCCCACACCATGCTGGTGCCTGGGCGTGATATCTCACCAGGAGACTCGGGGATGACGGAGGATCCCCAGTGCTGCCAGGTATGACGTTAAGTCACCAGAGACGTTCCCACCCTTCGCGGCCCAGCTCCAGGGCTACCTCCGAGTGTCAGGGGACAGCCCTTCTGAATCTAGCGAGAGCCGTGAGGCTCCAAAGGGGCAGGGGCCCCCTCGCCCCCTCCTCCCTGTGTTTCTGCCTGGGCTTCTGGAAAGCAGAGCCTGAGACAAGTCCTTGGGGCCCCCGGGGGGGCAGGCGAGGAGGGGATGTGAACGGGAAGGAGGGAAGGCCACCTGGGTCGCGCCGTCCGGCTCTGCTGCTCGTGCTGTGACCCTGTGGGGCTGCCTCTCAACTGCCCACCTTGTGTTTTGCGTGTGTGTCGGGGGTTCCCTGGACCACTCCTCTCCTGGGCAGGCTGCTGGCCTAAGTGGACGCAGAAGATTCAAGCAGAGCACAGAGCCGTTGGGTCCTGCTGTACAATCTCTCTTCTCTAGGATGTGCACTTCCTTCCGAGAAAACATCCTCCTACCCCCAGGGACAGGGTCACCCTCTGTCTGCAGCAGGTTGGGCACATCCGCCATCCCCTGTAGCCAGGTTGTTTGCCTTAGATGCTCCACGTGTGGGACACTAAGGGCAGTCAGGTTAGCCCTGCTCAGCTGGGGTCTCCCCAGGCCCCAGGCCTCGGTTCCTGACTTAGGTGAGCAGCTGCTCAGAAGGGAGAATATTCATCTCCACCCAACACACAGTTCACTTCCTCTTCACCCAAAGCAGCAAAGGCTGGGGAGACAGCCCTGCCCCCATCACCCCGTTCACAGCTGCTTCACCAGATCCGCCTCTCAGGTTCCCTGCCTGAAACGTCTGCTTCCAGTGGATGGCTTGCCACCAGCTCCTGAAGGTCCTATCCCTCACCTGCTTGCAGTTTTGAGAAGCTTCTTCCAGCCCACCTGTCATTTAGACCCTTGGCTTTGACCGGCACTTCCTATGCCGGGTGTAGAACGCTTTCTTCTGGGTTTCCTGATGGAACACAGCTACGAGGTAAAGCTTTGTCCAAATCTCAACTTTCATATTTGTGTGATTAGACCTGAGGCTCTCACTACGCCATCCTGGACCCCAGTACCACTCAGTGCTTTGTGCTGCAGGCAGTCGTTTTTGAGTCCAGTTCATTCCCCCTGTGGCAGCAGGGGGATTGGGGGGAGGGGGTGGGAGGGACACAGGGTGTCATGAATCCATGAACCTCTTGGAGATTAATGCGAGGAGAGGGAAGCAGACCCCCCCCCCCGCCTGCCCCTCCTGGGCAAGGTGTCTCTAGGTGGCGGGTGCCCTCAGGACAGGGGGTCCTGCCGGTCACACGTGGATGCCCAAGCGGGTTCTCGGGGCTGACTGAAAAAGTGAACAAAATGTCGTGATCCGAGCACGGGTTGCAAAAGCATTTCCAGACACAAGGAGAATGTAAGGAAGGTAGATTTTATTAAAGAGAAGGGTCTCTGCCAGAACGGCAGGCCGACTTCCTGGTAGCCGGGGAAAGTCGACACTGAGCATGGGTTGCTTGTCTGTTTTTATAGCCAGGGAAGCTGCAAGTCATCTGCTGACTGGGCAGGGTATGTGTACTTGCAGTGTGCTGAGCGGGAGAAAATGGGAGCAAATGTCTTTCCTTCTATGGGATGGGAAAGGGGCGGGGCATGCTGCTCGGGAGGGCTCTGGGACATGGCAGTGGTCCCATTGTGACAGAGTGATGGGAGTCCTGTAACTCTTTGTTCCAGCAATATTGGCCTTTTGAGTTTATCTTTTTTGTTTGTTTGTTTTTGCGTTACGCGGGCCTCTCACTGTTGTGGCCTCTCCCGTTGCGGAGCACAGGCTCCGGACGCGCAGGCTCAGCGGCCATGGCTCACGGGCCCAGCCGCTCCACGACATGTAGGATCCTCCCGGACCGGGGCACGAACCCGTGTCCCCTGCACCGGCAGGCGGACTCTCAACCACTGCGCCACAGGGAAGCCCTTGAGTTTATCTTTCTCTTCGTCCTTGGAGCGCACCCACAAGACTTCTCCGGCAGCCGCACAGTGCTCCTTGCAGGGCTCACCTCAGCTCCATGGAAGCTGGACTAAGGGAGGTGTTCCCTTATTTTCAAATGTCAGTGATCGCAGATGTTGATCAAGCGTGTGCGTGCGCTGCTCTGCGACTTCCGGGTATTAACGCAGCTACACCTTACAGGTGTGCGTCGTTAGCACCTCTAGCCGCAGGTGAGAGAGCTGCTGCCCCGACAGGTGGGGGCACTTGGCTGCTGGAACCACTGAGAAGGGGCGGAGTGGGGCCCGGACCCCATGCAGCTCGGCCCGAGCCTGTTTCCCTCGCACTGCCACCAACTGTCCTTAGAAACATCCTTATTGCCAGTCTTTCTGTCTAACCTCTCCTGGCTGAGCTGGCCTGGCTGAGACGCAGGCAAACCAATCACTGAGACCGTGAGAAGGAGACAAAGAGTGACGCGGAGTACCTTGAGTGCAGGGACTGTGTCCCATGACTCCCTTTTTAATTTTAATTTTGAATGGTGATAAAATACACATGGCATGAAAGCCACCATTTTAACCATTCTCTAAGCGTAGGTTCAGTGGCTGGAAGAACATTCACACTGTTGTGCAACCATCACCACCATCCGTTCCCAGAACACTTTCATTTTGCAAAACTGAAACCCTGTGCCTGTTACCCAATCACTCCCCCATTTCCCCCTCCCCCAGTCCCAGCCCTGCTCTCAGTATCTCTCTATAAATAGAATCGTACAGTATTTGTTCTTTTGTGACCGGCTTACTTCACTGAGCATCGTGTCCTCAGGATCCACCCATGTTGTAGCCTGCGTCAGAGTTTCCTTCCTTTTTACGGCTGAATAATACTCCATTGTACGGATGGACCGCATTCGGTTTATCCGGTAGTCAGTTGGTGGACACTTGGGTTCTTCCACCCTTTGGCTATTGTGAATAATGCTGCTATAAACCTGAGTGTACAAACATCTGTTCAAGTCCCTGGGTTCAGTTATTTTGGGTATATGCCCAGAAGTGCGATTGCTGGATCACATGGTAGTTCAATGTTTAATTTTCTGAGGACCCTCCATACTGTTTTCCACAGTAGCTGCACCAATGTACGTTCCCACTAACAGTGTAAAAAGATTTCAATTTATCCACATCTTTGCCAATGCTTGTTATTTATTGCGCTGTTTATTTTTTTTTTAATAATAGCCATCCTAATGGGTGTAAGTTTGTGTCTTACAATTTTTGAGTTCCTTGTGACCCTCTAGCACGGTACAAGCTTACATTTGTAGGAAAATCTGTGATTTTCAAATTACACATGTATTGCCTACATGTGAAGTTGTGGGGAAGATGCGATTCCCATCTCACTGGTGAGGAAACCGAAGCTGAGACAGATGGAATGATTTATCTGAGATGAGAAGGCTTGTGCGTGACGGTGGCAGGACCAGCACCCAGCACTGCAGCTGCCCTGGCCGGCCGGCGAGGAGGACACTTCCCATGTGCCGGGCAGGGTCCAGCCCTGGGCTCTGCAAAGTAGTGTCCTCACTTTACCAACAAGGCAGCAGAAAGGGAGGCTGAAAGGAGTCCCCTGCCACGCAGCCTGGGAGGGTACCTCTGCGGCCCCGGGCCCTGGGCCACAGCCTGCTCCCTTCCCGAGCTCAGAGCTGGCTTCTGAGAGTGAAGAGGGATAAAGAAAAGCAAGAGGTCCTGACTCGACAGCAGTAAAAAGTGCTGTGGAGGGGCTTCCCTGGTGGCACAGCGGTTGAGAGTCCGCCTGCCGATGCAGGGGACACGGGTTCGTGCCCCGGTCCGGGAAGATCCCACATGCCGCGGAGTGGCTGGGCCCGTGAGCCATGGCCGCTGAGCCTGCGCGTCCGGAGCCCGTGCTCCGCAACGGGAGAGGCCACAACAGGGAGAGGCCCGTGTACCGCAAAAAAAAAAAAAAAAAAAGTGCTGGGGAAAGTAGGGCCATTGGGTCGGGGGGTACCTGGTTCCTATTAACCACGTACCAGCTGTCTTTCTTGCAAAGAAGAAGTATAACCTCTGGTCTCGTGTTCCTCATGTTCAAGACAGGGATGGCAGTGACAAAGCCCATGGGTGTTCGGAGGACCCACAGTGCATCTCCCAGCCCAGGGTGGCTCAAGGCCAGGCCAGCGAGCATCCCTCCCCTCCCAGGGCCTGAGCGTCCCTCCCCTCCCAGGGCCTGAGCAGCCCGGGCAGGTCTGCCCCACACCCGCAAGCAGCAGCTGTCCTGTTCTCTGTGGTCCAGGCCGGGAAGGGAGAAGGGACCTGTGAGAGGAGTGATTTAGCAGGCCAGCAGCCATGCTCTGAGTGTCACGGGGCCAGCCCCCATCAGACAGCGCCGGCCACTTTCCAGAGCCGTATAAATAGCTGCGAGGGTGACATTGCAGAGGCCTCTGCCTTGGAGCGCCAGGAAAGGTCATTCATATTCTAGGCAGCAATAGGACTTATGTTACTGAAAATAAAGATTTCATGTATTTGTACACATCTGTCCATGGATGTGTCCTACAAACACACTTTACAGTGACCTTCCGGGGGTCTGACCCCACAGCTCAGCCGGCACCTAATCCGTATGGGGTTATTAACAGGATCTGGGGACCAACCGTGAGCCCCTCCGAAATATAATCCTTGCCTGTCAGAGGCTTTCAGAGCTCAGCTCACTCTACCGTGGAATGATGGTGTTCCTTCAGCACGCCTGCTAAGAAATTCTTATGCTAGCAACGTACGCTGCCCTGAAGTGTTTCATGGAAATTAGATTTCGGGAGAACAAAATAGCACAGAGCTCAGAGGCTGCAAGAGGCGGGATCCCTCTTTGTTCCTCATTTGCCCAGTAATTAATTTCCTCCACAGCACAATTTGAAGGAAAAGATTGTGTTCATTAATTTATCTTCCACCTGTTCCCAAGGTTGATTTTGAATGCTTTTTAACAGGAGACTTTGTATCCAGGAGGGAGATTTAATATCATCCCAAGAGCTGTCATCTGAGTGCCATGGACCAGGCTGCCCTGAGTGATGTCCCCAGACGAAACCACTTGGGCTTGAGTGACTATCACAGTGAGGTCCTGGGTGAGGAGAGCCTCTGCCGACCCCAGAGGGCACCCTGCCCTCACTCCTCAACGGGAGTTTTGGGAAGATATTCAGGGTCTCCGGGGAGCACCAGATCCCCACGCCTCCCGTTCCCCCTTTTCCACCCAAGGCAAGTGAGTCATAAGTGTCTAGAATGTAACTGTAGAAACACCAGGACACAATTAAGCTCAAGTACAGGAAGCACACAGATACTTTCTGTGGCAAATCTGATTATCTGCAGCAAATGAGCAGGGTGGAAACTTCCACCTGAAATCTCGCCCATCACCTCATTTTCAACTGTTTATTTTTTCTTCAGACGTAGGAATTACAGAGTGGTAGAATTCAGAAAATCATATTTAACCCTCATTTAGATGCAATCCGAATCACCTGAATGAAATGTGAATACTTTTCTAGATTTACAGGGAAAATAAAAAGAAATTTAAACCAGCAAGAAAGGCATTAGATGTTTTTTTCTGTACCCAGTGCATACAATACCAGGATCTTTCTGCCAGCACTGGGGCTCTTTTCCTCAGCTATAATGGAGAAGAAAAAAGTATACAATTCCAGGAAAGCATAGTTTGGGATTCAGAAGAGCCATCCATTCTGCCATTTAGTTATTTATTCAACAGATACCTATGGAGCCTGGCATGGTGCCGGCCCCTGGAAGGTCAGTGGTAAGCAGACCGCACTCCCTCTTCCTGCCACTCGCTGTCTAGCCAGAGAAGCTGAGTTATCACAACAGCTGTGACACTTGTAACTGTGCTACGGGTGTATGAGGGAGGCTTGCCCTAGCTTGCGATGGGGGGATGGCAGGGAGGCTCCCCTGTGCACAAAATACTCAGCACAGACCAGAAGGAGGGACATCCCTGGAGGAAAGAGGGTGGGGAAGAATGTTCTGGGCAGAGAACAGCATGTGAAAAGGCCCTGTGGTCGGAGGGGACATGGACACGTGGAAAGCTTACAGAGGCTGCGGGGCTGGGTGGGAGCAGAAGTGAAGAGTGAAGGTGAATACAGCCTGGAGGGGCGAATGGGGCTAAAGGGGTAGGGGTGGGGGCCACACTGGGCAGGGAGCCACAAGCCAAGGTCAGGACTCTTGATCCGGATGAGGGGTCAATCAGAGTCTGACCTCAGGCCTCTTATAGTGCAAAGCAGGTCTCCCTGGGCTTGACCCCTGGCTCTGTTCTGCAGTATTTGAGGGGCCTGGGCTTGGCGTTTGAACATCTCTGGGGCTCCGTGTCCTCGTCTGTAAAAGGAGGTAACGATACTCCATCTTCAGAGGGTTGGTGTGAGGATTAAATGAGATTACGTGTCTGGGGGCTGAGATTCGTACATGGACCTTTCTATGCTTGAACATTACCGTCGTCTTTTGTTATTATCTTTGAGTGCCTCTCACCAGATAATCTCGAAGCGCTTTCCAGCTCTGATGTTCCAGGTTTCTAAAAATCTTTTCTGAGATTTTCACAGTAACTCTCGCCCTCATAAATGCAAGGAGTGATGATTTTAATTATCGAGCACAGGGCTGTGTTTCAGGTACATGGACCCACGGGAAGCCACGGGATGGGATGAACTGACCCAGAGAACGTGTGCCTGGAGAGAGGAGAGGAAGGCTGAGGTCAGGCCCCGAGCATCACCGATGCTGATGGAACAAAAAGAAAGAAACCAGCGAGGTGGGAGGAATTGTCAGGATGGGACTCGGGTACTCATAACCCCTAAGTTCAGGAGGAGGTGGTGCTGAAGGAAGTGGGAGCTTCCAGGAGGGCAGACCCTGGTGATGACTCCCCCAGGGGGAGGACAGAGGGCAGCACCAGTGGATCTGTTGGCCTGCAGCTCATGGGTACCTGGGGCCCTTATGGTGTCAGTATGCAGACTGGGAAGAGATGTCGTCCTCAGGAACCTGAGCTCCACTTGCAGGAAATTGTACTCACTTGTGATGTCATTGGGACCAGACCCTCCTGCTGTCGGCCTGATATCCCCCTGCGAGGGCCACCGTGTGACCTCTGGCCTTAGCCTTGGACAGAGCACACCTGCCCATCGGGGTGACCACCACACAGGCAAGCTCTGAGAACACAGCTTCGGAACGCACCTGACTGGGGGCAAAGGAACATCAAGAATTCGAGAACTCGGTGGATGGGGGTTGAGGCAGAGGCCGGAGTAATGTGAGATATTTGGAGGCTGAACGGCAGGAGCCTGTGGAAAGGCAGAGAGAGAGAACTGAGAACCCAAGGGAAGAGGCTGAATGGCGATCCTGAGGGCTGGAGCCCCAGGGGCTCCTTCCAGCTGTGGGCCCACTGCCCACCCAGCCTGGAGACAGCTGGGCCCAGGGGGCTGCAGCCCGGCCTGCACTCCCCTCACTCGCTGAGGGAGGATCTGCAAGCACGTGCTCTTTATTTGCTCTCACGACATCTGCCTGGAAACAGAAGCCCAACCACAGATGGGACTGAAAAGTGGAGACAGGACTTTTGGGCGGGCATGCTGGGAAGGGAGGCAGAGGGTGCGGCTTCACAAACCTGCCCACCGCAGACGCGTCTGGAATTCGAGGGGGGCTGTTTTTCAAAGTGAGACCCAGGATTATTTGCAGAATGGGGAATTCAGATTCCTGGGCCCTGCCTGGAATACGCTGAGGCAGAACCTACGTTTCCCCCGCCAGGGTCCCTGGGCCGTCTTAGGCAGTCTGAAATTTGGGACGCATGGATTAGGCGATTAGGTTACACAGGACACTGGTGTGTGTAGGGGGGGCGAGGGCAGAAAGGACCTGGCCCCCAGCTGGGAAAACAGTGCCCAGCCTAGAAAGGAGACGAATGACCCCGAGTGCCAAGCAAACTGCAGAGGGTGTCCAGAGATCGTGCCACTTCCACCACGTCCCGTGGCTGGGGGACACGGCCTGGGGGTGGGTGCCCGGGGCACTGTGCAGAGGAGGCCACAAGCTTGGCTCTGAGCCCCTGGGAACAGGAAGGAGGAGTGAATAAGGGCAGAGGGGAACTTAGAGGGGCTTGTTCAGGGAGTACAGAGTCTCTCAGCTTGGCAGGTCCAAGGGTTTGTGCAGGGAAAGGAAGTGGGAAATAAGGCTGAAGGGCGAGTTCGTGCTAAATGGTGCCGGGCTTTGCGGGCGATTCCGAGCAGCTCGGCCAGGAGCCCGCTCTGGGCTGTTAAGCCAAACAAGATGCGGTCTGTGTCCTCACTGAGCTCGCGGGCCTGAGGTGGAGACGGACAGACACGCGTAAGCATCGCTTGAAGCAAGGGCACAGGAGCAGAGGAAGGTGCCGGGGCCCGGGGAAGGGGCAGCGCTGACCCTCTGCAGGCGTGGGCTGGCTCCCCAGACAGGCAGATTCCTGGTCCCTGAGTCTCCACGTGGAAAGCTCTAGACGGTTGTTACCTGTAGGCAGTGGGCAGAGCCCAAGGGGTCCTCCAAGCAAAGGAGGGACATGATGAAAGCAGCAGTTCCAAAATCAGAAAAATTGACCACCAGTGTCAAAAGTGAGCCCAACCCCAGCTCCCAAGTGTCCCTCAGTGACCCCCAGTTTCTCTGCTGTGCGTTGATCATCTGGGGTCACTTCCCCCACCTCCGCCTTCCCCTTTATACTCGGTGCAGGGCCTGGCTTCTTCTACCTCCTTCTTTCCTATTGATGGGTCCGATTTAATCACTTTTTCAGGCGTTCAGGAAAACAGGAAAGTGGCTTATAGTTCACGGATGTCGAAGTCTAGGCTGACAAGGGGTGTTTTCAAGGAGGAAGAGAAGCGAGTGGGGTGGGTGTATTTTTCAGTTATAATAAGACCTTGGATACCTTATGTAGACTCTTGGGGATTAATGACACTGGTCCTCCTTTTCGTTCCCTTGCCCAAAGAATAAGAAGACATCTCCAGACATCACATCTCTGTCCTCCAAGTGCCCCCTTGTCATCAGGCGTCACGACCTTGTGGGGTCCCAGGAGGAGAGAATGAAGGAGCAGGAAAGGCGGCGGAGGGCAATGTGCCTGAATGTGTCTGCTGAGTCCAGGCCGGAGGGATGCTGTCACGGTCTCCCGCTTGGGGAGCTGTCATCATTTTACCTACCGGAGCCCAGGTGTCCTTCCTGCTGGAGGCGCTGAGACTCAGCTGCAAGACCGTTGCTGGCTCATGGCCGCCAGAGACATGGTTCTGACCCAGAGCCTCCCCGAGGCCCTGGTTTTATGTCTCCTTTTGCCCAGAAGGAGAACAGGTTTGTGATGCCCTTGGTCATACATTTGTGGAGGCTTCTGGCCAGACCCAGAAAAGCAGTGAGAGGACGGGAAGGAGGATGAGGCTCTGTGCACGGGGAGGCGCCAGGCTGGGCGCTAGAGGTGGGCGCTGGTCTCGGCCACTGAGCACAGGCTCCTGGGAAGCACACGTGGCTGGGAGCCGGGACCCTGGTCTGGCCTTGCCTCTGACTCTTCCTGCCTCACCCTCAGAGGATGAGCTGGGCTGTAGACTCAGTCCAGGGGGTTGCATTAGATGACCCCTCAGATCTTGTTCCATCAGCTAATGCTTAACAACCTTGCAGAAGCCCCAGAAGCTTTGGCTAAAGGCTGCCTCTTTGCATTCCCACGGCCCGTGAGCTATCACCACACCAACTTGGTGTACGGAGCACCCTGCCAGCCCCCCGGTGAGCCCCCAGGTGGCCAGGGTCATGACCTTCACCTTTGTAACCCCTGCATCTTTGCTGGTGGACCAGCTGCCTTCAGATCTTCCCCCTCGTTGCTGTGACCCACACGGCAGACGGGGGTCTTGCAGCAGCAGTAGCTAAGCGAGGTAAGGGAGCGAATGGTAGCAGTGCCCATGAGGCTTGACACCAAGTCAGGCGTGACTTTGTGTGCTAATAGCAAGGCGGGAGGGGACCTCGGGGAAGACCCCAGCAGCCTCCACCTCCCCCACTGGAGGCTTGAGGAGAACGAAGTCTCCTTCTTCATGGCACGGTGATGGGCCCTTAAGTCTGTCCTTTGCGTCATGAGAGCAGAGGGCACCCTGTAAAGGGAAATTCGATGGATTCCTTTATTAGTTAATTCAACAGGTGCCCCCTGAATGCTCATCACACGTCACTTTCCTGTGCTGGGCACTGTGGACCCAGCCTCACAGTCCAAGGGTGCGGCCGTGATGAAGCGCCGTGGGCGGAGCAGCTCGATCAGCAGAGATAACTGTCTCACAGCTCTGGAGCCTGCAGGTCCAAGATCGGGGTGTCAGCAGGGCTGCTCCCTCTGAGGCTGTGAGGGCGATTGTGGTCCAGGCCTCTCTCCTCGGCTTGCAGATGGCCATCTTCATCCTTGCGTGGCGTCCTCCCTGTGTGTCCGTCTCCAAATTTCCCAGACGTATTGGAGTAGGACTCGCCCTAATGACCCCATTTTACCTTGAGTATCTCTGTAAAGACCCTGTCTTCAAGTGCTATGGTCTCAGTGTTTGTGTCCCCACCCAAACTCGTATGTTGAAATCCTAACCCCAAAGGTGATGGTATTTGGAGGCAGGGCCTTTAAGAGGTGCTTAGATCGTGAGAGTCCCACCCTCCTGATGGGATTGGTGCTTTTATAAAAGAGACCTCACAGAGACCCCTTCCACTGTGTGAAGACACAGTGAAAAGGTACCCACTGTGACCCAGGAGGATGGCTGTCACCAGAATGTGACCATGCCGGCGCCCTGATCTCGAACTTCCCACTGTCCAGAGCTGTGAGGAATACATTTCTGTTGTTTATAAACCAGCCAGTCTGTGGCATTTTGTTATAGCAGCTGAAACAGACGAAAACACCAAATAAGGTCACATTTGGAGGTGCTGAGTTAGGGCTTCAACATAGGAATTTGGGAGGAACACAAGTCAAACCATAACAGAGAAGGCAATTTCAGCCCCGAACATCACTCTGAGATTAGCCCAAATCGCCTGGCAGAATCCAAGGGGCCTGGAGGCGGGAGAATCATCGCTGGGAGAGAGAAGGAAGCACCTGCATGGGGTGCTTGTCCAAAAGGTTGGGCCCCGGGGGAACCCTGTGGTGGTGCAGGGGCATGGAGACCAGGGGCAGTGCAAGGCCTTGGGGGTCAGAGGAGGGGGGTGAGCAGAGGAGGAGGAAGGAGATGCTGAAATGTCCCTGCCTGGCCTGCTCTCCCCCAGCCCAGCTCCGAGCAGGACAGATGAGATTTCTCTCTGGAGAATCGCACCCCCTCGGGAAGGCTCACGTGGAGGGAAGCTCGTGTCCGGTAGTGCAGGAGCTCTCAGGCCTGGCTGCCCATTAGATCAGAATGTCTGAGGTTCTGTCTGGGCGTCTGCAGATTCCAGAAGTTCACTCCTCAGCTGAGAGCAGAGACTCGCCTGGGCCAGTGCAGGGCACAGATGGTGCTGGCTCTCGACTTCCACTCACCGCCTGCTGCCCGGGCTGTCACCTAATACGGGGCCCCACCCAAACCTGCCAGCTGCCTCCTTCTAGAAACACTCACCAGCATCGCCTGGGAGCCGGCCCCCTCTGTGGATGCTTTCCCGTTACCACGATGACTGTCCCTGCTCTGGCATCATGAATACGGGATGCTGCGGTTAGGATGCCCTCTCGGAGGACAGGTGATTCTCTAGGCAAGATGTGGGTCCACTCACAGAGCTCGGCCTGCTGAGCAAAGCACGAGGTGAGTACTTAATGTCACAGGGCAGGTGAAACCTGGGGGTGGTGACCGCCGGCAGGAGGAGGGCCAGCCAGCACACACAGAAGGGGCCATATCGCACGTGGGGCTATCAGGGGAAGGTGGGACACAGCCTCCCCTTGGAATGCTGGCAGACACGCTCTGGGTGGGGGAGAAAGGGCACATCTCACCTTGGGAGGAGGTGGACCAGGTGGAAGCCCTTGCTCCTGGGAGGGTGCAGAGCCAGGCCCAAGCAGGAAGTGACCGGTGCTGAGTGACGCCTGGGACCCACCTCGTGCGTTCTCGCCAGTGACGTCCAGGAAGCTTCAGTCTCCACTCTCCTTGCCCTCCAAAACCATTCTGACTGCAGGGCTGAGAAACACGTGCCAGTGTGTGTGAGCAGTTGCCCCTGAAATGGTAACCTCTGGAGGGTTTGCTGAGAAAATCCAGACCCTGAGAGTGACAGCCAGGAAGCAGAGCTGCAGCTGTGGACACTATTGGTGCACGTGGTGGCAGTGTTCATGGTGACAGTGCCCGTGACGGCTCCTGCAGAGCCCCCGTTGCAAACAGCAGTCCCAGCAGAGACATGGCACTCTCCAGGTCAAGCTCCAGGCAACCAACGGAAATGGTAAAGAAACACCCCTTGAGAGAGGGGGAAGATGGTGGAAGAGTAAGACGCGGAGATCACCTTCCTCCCCACGAATACATCAGAAATACATCTACACGTGGGATAACTCCTACAGAACACCCACTGACTGCTGGCAGAAGACCTCAGACCTCCCAAAAGGCAAGAAAGTCCCCACGTACCTGGGTAGCACAAAAGAAAAAACAGAACCAAAAGAATAGGGATGGGACCTGCACCAGTGGGAGGGAGCCGTGAACGAGGAAAGGTTTCCACACGCTAGAAGCACCTTCGTGGGCAGAGACTGCGGGTGGTGGAGGGGGGAAGCTTCAGAGCCACGGAGGAGAGCACAGCAACAGGGGTGCGGAGGGCAAAGCGGAGAGATTCCCGCACAGAGGATTGGTGCCGACTGGCACTCACCAGCCCTAGAGGCTTGTCTGCTCCCCCGCCAGGGTGGGCGGGGCTGGGAGCCGAGGCTCGGGCTTTGGTCGGAGAGCAGGGAGAGGACTGGGGTTGGCGGCGTGAACACAGCCTGCAGGGGGTTAGTGCGCCACGGCTAGCCGGGAGGGAGTCCGGGAAAAGTCTGGACCTGCCGAAGAGGCAAGAGACCTTTTCTTCCCTCTTTGTTTCCTGGGGCGCAAGGAGAGGGGATTAAGAGCGCTGTTTAAAGGAGCTCCAGAGACGAGCGTGAGCCGCGGCTAAAAGCGCGGACCCCAGAGACGGGCATGAGATGCTAAGGTTGCTGCTGCCGCCACCAAGAAGCCTGTGTGCGAGCACAGGTCACTCTCCACACCTCCCCTCCCGGGAGCTTCTGCAGCCCGCCACTGCCAGGGTCCTGGGATCCAGGGACAACTTCCCCGGGAGAACGCATGGCAGGCCTCAGGCTGGTGCAACATCACGCTGGCCTCTGCTGCCACAGGCCCGCCCTGCATCTGTACCCCTCCCTCCCCCTGGCCTGAGTTAGCCAGAGCCCCCAAATCAGCCGCTCCTTTAACCCCGTTCTGTCTGAGTGAAGAACAGACACCCTCCGGCGACCTACACGCAGAGGCGGGGCCAAATCCAAAGCTGAGCCCCTGGGAGCTGTGAGAACAAAGAAGAGAAAGGGAAATCTCTCCCAGCAGCTTCAGGAGCAGCGGATTAAATCTCCACAATCAACTTGATGTTCCCTGCATCTGTGGAACACCTGAATAGACAATGAACCATCCCAAATTGAGGAGGTGGACTTTGGGAGCAAGATTTATTATTTTTTCCCCTTTTTCTCTTTTTGTGAGTGTGTATGTGTATGCTTCAGTGTGAGATTTTGTCTGTTTAGCTTTGCTTCCACCATTTGTCCTAGGGTTCTATCTGTCCATTTGTTTGTTTGTTTACTTTAAAAAAAGTATTTTTCTTAATAATTTTTTTTATTTTAATAACTTTATTTTATTTTACCTTACTTTATTTTAGTTTCTTTTATCCTCTTTCATTCTTTCTACTTTTTTTCCTTTTATTCTGAGCTGTGTGTATGAAAGGCTCTTGGTGCTGCAGCCAGGAGTCAGTGCTGTGCCTCTGAGGTGGGAGAGCCAACTTCAGGACACTGGTCCACAAGAGACCTCTCACCTCCACGTAATATCAAATGGCAAAAATCTCCCAGAGATCTCCATCTCAACACCACACCCAGCTTCACTCAACGACCATCAAGCTACAGTGCTGGACACCCTACGCCAAACAACTAGCAAGAAAGGAACACAACCGCACCCATTAGCAGAGAGGCTGCCTAAAATCTTAAGTCCACAGACGCCCCAAAACACACCACCAGACGTGGACCTGCCCACCAGAAAGACAAGATCCAGCCTCATCCACCAGAACACAGGCACTAGTCCCCTCCATCAGGAAGCCTACACAACCCACTGAACCAACTTTAGCCACAGGGGACAGACACCAAAAACAATGGGAACTACGAACCTGCAGCCTGCAAAAAGGAGACCCCAAACACAGTAAGATAAGCAAAATGAGAAGACAGAAAATCACACAGCAGATGAAGGAGCAAGAAAAAAACGCACCAGACCTAACAAATGAAGAGGAAATAGGCAGTCTACCTGAAAAAGAATTCAGAATAATGATAGTAAAGATGATCCAAAATCTTGGAGATAGAATGGAGAAAATGCAAGAAACATTTAACAAGGACCTAGAAGAACTAAAGATGAAACAAGCAATGATGAACAACACAATAAATGAAATGAAAAATACTCTAGAAGAGATCAATAGCAGAATAACTGAGGCAGAAGAACGGATAAGTGACCTGGAAGATAAAATAGTGGAAATAACTACTGCAGAGCAGAATAAAGGAAAAAGAATGAAAAGAACTGAGGACAGTCTCAGAGACCTCTGGGACAACATTAAATGCACCAACATTCGAATTATAGGGGTTCCAGAAGAAGAAGAGAAAAAGAAAGGGACTGAGAAAATATTTGAAGAGATTATAGTTGAAAATTTCCCTAATATGGGAAAGGAAATAGTTAATCAAGTCCAGGAAGTGCAGAGAGTCCCATACAGGATAAATCCAAGGAGAAACACGCCAAGACACATATTAATCAAACTGTCAAAAATTAAATACAAAGAAAAAATATTAAAAGCAGCAAGGGAAAAACAACAAATAACACACAGGGAATTCCCATAAGCTTAACAGCTGATCTTTCAGCAGAAACTCTGCAAGCCAGAAGGGACTGGCAGGACATATTTAAAGTGATGAAGGAGAAAAACCTACAACCAAGATTACTCTACCCAGCAAGGATCTCATTCAAAATGACGGAGAAATTAAAACCTTTACAGACAAGCAAAAGCTGAGAGAGTTCGGCACCACCAAACCAGCCTTACAACAAATGCTAAAGGATCTTCACTAGGCAAGAAACACAAGAGAAGGAAAAGACCTATAATAACAAACCCAAAACAATTAAGAAAATGGGAACAGGAACATACATATCGATAATTACCTTAAACGTAAATGGATTAAATGCTCCCACCAAAAGACACAGACTGGCTGAATGGATACAAAAACAAGACCCATATATATGCTGTCTACAAGAGACCCACTTCAGACCTAGAGACACATACAGACTGAAAGTGAGGGGATGGAAAAAGGTATTCCATGCAAATGGAAACCAAAAGAAAGCTGGAGTAGCAATTCTCATATCAGACAAAATAGACTTTAAAATAAAGACTATTAGAAGAGACAAAGAAGGACACTACATAATGATCAAGGGATTGATCCAAGAAGAAGAAATAACTATTGTAAATATTTATGTACCCAACAGAAGAGCACCTCGATACATAAGGCAAATATTAACAGCCAGAAAAGGGGAAATTGACAGTAACACATTCATAGTAGGGGACTTTAACACCCCACTTTCACCAATGGACAGATCATCCAAAATGAAAATAAATAAGGAAACACAAGCTTTAAATGATACATTAAACAAGATGGACTTAATTGATATTTACGGGACATTCCATCCAAAAACAACAGAATACACATTTTTCTCAAGTGCTCATGGAACATTCTTCAGGATAGATCATATCTTGGGTCACAAATCAAGCCTTGATAAATTTAAGAAAATTGAAATTGTATCAAGTATCTTTTCCAACCACAACGCTATGAAACTAGATATCAATTACAGGAAAAGATCTGTAAAAAATACAAACACATGGAGGCTAAACAATACACTACTTA